CGGAAAACACAAATCTAGAACGATTTTCATGCCGAGGAGGTGACAACATGCCAAATGCAAATAAAAACAAGCAACGGCAACGGCAACGGCGACGGCGAACGACACAAAACTTTATTTAATTTAAAAGCTAAAAATATAAAATAAATTTTGCACATTTGACTTTTACACCAACAATTTGGCCCGTCCGCTGGCTGGTCATAAACCTTCGCCCACCCTCACAATGTCACAGTGGATCCGGACTCTTAACCCCGTAACCCGTAACTATATAACCCTTAGCCCGTAACCCGTAACCCCCGGGGGTGTCCGTAATCCGTAACCGTAACCATTCTGAACGGCAATCTGCGAGCGTAACCAAAAACCGTACGCAAAGTTACGATAATCGTTTATTGAAATGCAAATTTTTTGCTGATTTTGCCGCTTTTAGAAGTCAATTTGAGTTTGAGCTTGTTTTTTGTTTCGTTATTTGTTTGTTTTTTTTTCTCAACTTTTGTTGTGGGTGGGTGGTGTTGGTGGGGTTGGTGTTCTAACACTTGTATTATGATTGTCTGTTGTCGTCGGGCCAAGATGCGAAGCTGAGAAGCCGGCAATAAAATCACACAGCCATTTGGCAAGTGTAAATTTGCATATTAAGGAGCAAAGTCAACCCTAGGGTCCCATATGCTGAGTTGTCACCTGCGATTTGTATAATTGGATGGTTAGGTTAACCCATTTGCCGTCTAACACTTCGATTAGGTAAGAGGGGGTTAGGGGGGTTAAACCCTAAACATAACTCCAAAATCGATCCATCAGAAATCAAAACGCAAAATCTCATTAATTTGACAAGGAAAAGGAGTCGAATCGGATTTCTGATTTCTGATTTCGGATAAGGCACTCACCCACCCCCTTTCGGCTTTTGTCTGGGAAATGTAAATATAATTCCCCCTGTTACAAGGACACAAAGAGATCCCGAAGATAAGGTCCTGGTGAAGGCACTGATGCAACTGTCAAATTGTCAGGGATTTGGAATTTTGAAAAACCGATTCGGATTTTTCGTGGGGTGGTGTCTGCGGTTTTAGAACGCGGGCGAGGGCTTTACTATTTACAAAACTGCAAGATACGACTGATAAGATAAATAATTGGAATATGAAGCTGGTAGAGCCCCCTCCTCTAGCCTATGGCAGGCAAAGCGGCACAGCAGGAAGGGGTGTGTCTATATCTGCTCTCATTCTGTTTAATCACAGCAAATAATTAAATGTCCATTTCACAGGCAACGTCAATGTCGAAAGTTCCCCCTCCACCATGGATATAGTGCCGAATCTGGTTTCGGAATCTGAAACCGACCCCTCGACCTCGATGGCGATGCGACACGTGTGCGACAAGCGGCATTTGTATTAAGACTTAATTTAAGTGCTTATCACCCAAAACAAATCAACCCACCCCCTCTCTCCCCTCTCTCTCTTCCACTCTATATGTTTCCGATATTTATCCCCTCCCCTGCTTTGTCATTTGACATTTTGTATGAGTAACGCTCACCTAATGAAGTTATTAGAGGCGCACACAAAGCCCCACCAGCCACACCAACACCCACACCCATGCTCTATATATATGCTATATATACCTGACCAGACATCGCAGATAATGCCTGCAGAGGGGCACCACTTTTTTTGGACTGGACTGGAGTCATGGTCTGGCTATCTGCACGGGGCCAAGGTAGGGGATCTTCAGTTTGGGAAGGGTACATAGGCACGGCCAGAGGATTGGGCATGGTAAGTGGGTAGAGTTATTAGTAAGTTCAGAAATAAAGTTAGTTATTAAGACTTTAAAACATATTTTTAAAAAAGAAAAGTGGAAAAAATCTTAGAAGTTTTCATTGATATAAAGTCTTATATAAAAGTTTCATAAATTAGCAGCAGTTTTTAAGGTTTCTTATTAGTTTTATAGAACAGTAAACCCTTGTTTTAAAGTAACTCTTGCCTAAACAACCTAAAAATTAAACTAACTCTTGTACTAACTTTAATGGCTAACCTATAAGTAGGGCACTTCCTTAAGTCTATAAGCCCGAAATGAGGTAACTTTCTGTTTTGGCCACCGAAAATGATTCCTCCCCGTCCAGCGGCATGACAAATGGGAGTTCAATAAATGTTTATGATTTGACAAATCAATCGGGCTACTAATGTCACAATTCCGGAATGATTGCCCCGTTATTTTGGTTATTATACCGCCCCCTCATGCCCCTGCCCCCTGCCACACTGCCCCCTGCCACACTGTCACTTATTAATTTGGTTATTTGGCCCGCTGTCCGAGTTTATTTATTCATAAATTTTATCAGCACAAATTAAAAACAAATTAGCCGACAGTAGGTAAATAATAATAAAGTGTAATAAAAATCAGAGGGACAGGCGACCGTCGATAAGCTGACTGAACGAACGAACGAACTTGATTTGTTTAATCGAATGTGAAATGATTAAAACTTAATAATAATATTCATTTAGTTTATTCTGCCTGCCAGCCAGCTTGCCTATTTAAATTCAGGTTTATTTTCGTTTCGTTTTTTTACTTTTAATTTCATTCCCCTCCCTGCTCTCCCCCTGGCTCTGGTTGTAATGACATTTTTATTGTTTTTAATGCGCTTTTAATAATAATTGATTTGCGATTGCAACAATTTGATAAACCAAGTAAATGAAGCGAAGAGCCAAAACAAATTATGTGACTGCTGTTTGTCGTCGTTTTGGGTTTGGATGGGGGTAGGGGTAGGGAAGATGGCTTATTTTAATGGTAATAATTATAAAGTGATTGGTTTTGAAATGTAATTACCTAGAATATGGTTAGCAGGGTTAAGTTTTCTGGTGAAATAGCTGACCTTGATAGAGGGCTTTATCTGAGTAATAGCTTGATAGAAGTTTGGTTAATCAGTGAGAAGGTTTCCCTAGTAATATCTTAGGGAAACTTAGCTTGAGGATTCCTAAACTTCATATGACAGGAAAACTTACTTTAAAGTTACTTTTATCCTTCTTTTTTCCAGTTAGACCTTAGTTATTAACTATATTTTATACCCATTTCCACTGCCCTATTAACAAACATCTCAATTTATTACCAATTTTAGATTTTTTCAGGTAACTAACCCACTTAGAAACCATTTACATCCCCCAATTCCCAATATCATTTAATTGGGTTTGTAATTGTGAGGGAAACTAAAAGCAAATTCAAAGGAAAACCCAAGGAAAATCAAAGAAAAACTCTAAGGAAAAGCTAGAGATGGCCCCAACCTAATAATCAAATCGCAACAAAGTGTCACAACAAATTTACTTTCCAACTACAACTAACTTGGCTAAGATATGGCCTGTGGTGTGTGAGGGGAGGGGAGGGGAGTTGGCTGAAAGGGGAGGTGGCATGGTGCGCCAGAGAGTGCCCCTATTAGCAGTGAAAAGTTGTTCGGGGAATAGAGCTGCTAAGACTTAATAGAAAATCAAGCGCAAGAAAATGGCGTCCGATAAGGCGATGAGGAAAAGCTCAAGGAGGAAAGAGGAAAGAGCGGTTAAATAGGGGGCTGTGGAAAATGGAAAAGCGAAAGAGAAAAGTCAGCCAACCAACGCCCCGCAGCAAATTAAATGAAAATTTGTTTGTGTGTGGAAAAATCAAGTGAAAATTAATTGAATTGAGTTGAGTGCGGCTACGCCGAAATGGTTTGGGTTTGAAGTTGGGTTTTCTGCGGGCCATGGGGAGGGTTATTATATAGATCTTCATGTGGCGATAGCTCCCCCCCACACGCCAAAAAAAAAAGAAGAAGAAGCTGCAAATGGAATTTTCCTTTTCTTTCTTTTTTCCTCCTCCTTTGTGTGTTTTTTTTTCTCTTTTTGCCAATCACAAAGCAATGATGAAGGAGAGTCCAGAGGTTGGAAAATCAAAGGGGGCGAGGGGGCTTTGGGTGGTCACTCGCCCGCTCTCTTTCTCGCTCTGTCTGCCTGACATGGCAAAGTGGTTGCCTGTCCCTTTCCTGCAGCCATAATTCATTTTCCAAAGACGGCAGCTGCGCATTGAAACTGCCTCGGAAAAGTGGGTGTATTTAAAGGGGTGGTGGCGAGGGGGCTGGGAGCCTTACCCACCCCTACACAACCCCATTCCCCTCGCATATTTAAGACATTATTACATTATAATCGCATAAAACAATCAATAAAATGTCAGTTTTTGCTCTGCTCTCGTACGGGCAGCGCTGCCTTGGCCCTCTCTTTCGCACTTTTCGGGGGTAGACCCCCCGACCACCCCCCTTTGCCACTTTTCTTCCCACTCATTCTTTTGCTTTCTTTGCTTCGGCTACTGCCTCTTCTTCTTCTTCTTCTCCGCTAGCCGTCTTCTTCTTACTGGGCCTTAAATTGGCCATAATCATATTCATATGAAATTTCCCCCTATTTTTTCACTGGCCACGCCTGTCTGCGCACTATAGTTGTCTCGCTTACTCTAGTACGGTTTCTCAGTTAGCTGTCTGGTCTGGCTATTGCCTTCTCTTTTTAGCTCTAGCTTGGTGTGTTACGAAGACACACACATACACACACACTGATTCACTTTAAATCAATTTTTTTGGCGTTTTTCATTTCATTTTCCCTGTTGCGCATTGCTGGCTCTCACTCGCTCGCACTACTTGTGTCTCTTTCCCTGGGCATTGCCCATCTCTTTCGCGCAATTTAGTGAGCCAGAAAAATACCATTATTGCATTGGCCATTTGTGGGCCAGCGCGGGGTTAAGCGGGGCTGCGGGGGGTTAAGTGGACTGGGGTGGGTTGAGTGGGTGGCAGCAGTGGTGGTGGTGGTGGTGGACTTGTGGGTGGTGGGTTTTTGCGGACGGCGCCTTGGCATGTTTGTTAAGTGAAACCATTTTTCTTTTTATTGCCACGACAGCGACGCAGACGTCGACGTCGCTGTTGCTGTTGCTGTCGCTGTCGCTGTCGGTGCTACCGCTGCTTGTTCTTCTTCTTCTTCTTCTTGTTCCTTTGCTGCTGCTTCTTGTTCTTCTTTTGAGTTTTATGCTTTTTCGCTTTTCGTTTTGTTATTTCTCGCTTTGGCGCACATAAATTTGAACGTTAATGATTTTTGCTTGCAGTCGCGCATGCGACCCAAAAGCAACAACAACAACCGACCGACCGTCAAGTGTTGAAAATGAATTTGTTGTTGTTGTTTTTGGTGCTGCTGCTGCAGCAGGTGTCGCCATCTCACTTTTTAGCACAGACTCAAACCACGAAGAGCCAACCAACAGTGGTGACACTTTTTCTTCCCTTTTTGTAGACACCCCCTCCCCACACACCTATACATGTGCGCATTTTTATTAAACAAACGAAACGAAGAAGAAGAAGACAAAGCGAACTCCATATTTTTCATTTAAACGCGCCTGTCGCGCCATCTCGCTCACACCGATGCGCCATCACCGTCGTCGTCGTCTCCACATTGTGTGTCTCCACAAAACTCCACAACTCGCTCGGCGTAATTTTAATTCGAATCAATTTGTTTGTCGCCGCCGCTGCACAGAGTTCAGCCTTTTGCCCAGTGGGCCGCCGATTCGCTCCACTGTGCACCCGTCACGCGTTCCACGGTGCGGCCAGGATACTGGTTTTTTTTTTCCTGTGTGTACTTCTATGTGTGTGTATGTGTGAGTGTTTGCCCTGTGAATTGGGACCCTGAGAGTTAAACGAAGTTAACCGAAAGATCCTACAGATTAAACGGAAGTTCCCGCTAAGCTGTTGCAGGCAAATTAAAAATAAATAACTAACAGTGAACGATTAAAGGGAAAACCTTAATAAATCTATACCAAAAAGTGAACTATAACGGTTATATTGATGAAGAAGGAAAGTTCTTAAAACTAAGATTAAACTCAAAGCCAAAACCAAAGCAAAGTTGGCAACAAAATGGATCAGCTGATCAAACAGTTGCAACTGGCAGCCGCTGCCCAGCAAGTGCATTCACATCCGCATCCGCATCCTCAGCAACATCAGCATGCGGCATCCGCCTTGCAGCTTTATGCTGCTGCTGCCGCCGTCAACCTGCGAGTTCCCGGCTGGTCGCCCTTTCTCAACCTGCCTTTGGATTCTACAAATCCGGGCGACTCTCCAGGATCCGGCAGCAGTTCGTCCTCTGTGTATATGCTCCGCCAGATGGCGCTGATGCAGAGAGCCAATGCCGCTGCCGCAGCAGCCGCTATTCAACAGCAAAGAGATCGCAATCGGGAGCTTGAAGAAGATCGGGATCAGAAGACCAGTGAATTGGAAACTTTGAGGTCTGTGAAAAGGCCAGGAAAACTAAAGAGGGAACAGGAAGGCTCTGGTGGATATCCGAACAACAGCCGCGAGGGTAAGAGAAACTTTTTTTATATACAAAATATGATTTAGAATGGAATTCCTTTAAGGTGATGCCTCATTTACCTCATATTCCAGCTAATTAATTGCCTTTTTCCCCAGTTTTGTGTAAGATTCAGGTATTAAGGGGTTAAATAACAGCCAGAGTGCTGAGATACTAAAATTAAAAACAATAGTTATGACCAGAAAAGTTTATAATAAAGGCAGTAAAAATATCAGGGAAAAATCCCCTTCATTGCGGTTACTCTTCTTCTCTCTTTTCTCTAAACTAAGTATTTCGCATTTGGCCAAAATACACGAAATTGCTGGCCAAATTTAATTACGTGCATAATCAACAAGCAGCAACAACAATAACAAGTGGCCAACACACACACACAAACTCACACACACATGCATTAAAGGCCTGCGGGCGAATAATGTTTGTTGATTTTGTTGTTGCTGGCGCTGTTGTTGATTAAAAATTGATCAAAAAACATAAAAACATACGAATTATGCATGCCAGTATGTAAATGCGTAAGTGTTTCATGTGTGTGTGTGTAAGTGTGTTTGTATGTGTGTATAAGAGTGTTAGTGTGTGTGTGGGTGGCAGGGAATTGATTAAAAGGAGCAATTCGATTGAAATTTTATTGGTAAATTGAATAAACTGCGCGGCCCAGCCTGGCCCGGTCTGGTCCCAGCCGGCTAGGAACTTGTTTTTCCATTTGGCCATTTGGAAAATTGCATTATCTGCGCAAGCTCAGCGGAAAGTTAATGAATGTAATGAATGAACAAATGAGTGCCAGAACGCGGGTGGCATGCCCCATAAATAACGCAATTTCAAGAGTGTCCTTGCCGGGAATTAGCGTTAAACAAATGCATGATTAGGTGTGATTGGTATTTTAGTAGGGAAATTGTATGGAAATAGAAAATGTTTTCCACAGAAAGAAAGTAATTTTTAACAGATTAAACCTTAACTCAACCTGCCCATTACCAAACCTAAAGGTCAATGAAAAACTGCAATAATTTGTGAATGAACAAAGATGAAGAGGTGCCAAGTGCACCTGGCATTGGAAAATGGGAAATGGTGCATGGGAAATGAGCAGTGACAGGTGAAGTCTTCCTGTTTTTCTTTCCCCCCAGGTCACGCCCAATACGGGAAACGCCTGCATTTCGGCCTTCTGTCTTCTGTCTTCTGTCTTTTGGCAATTGAACTAGTTTTGAGGCGCATCCAATTCCGAATGGGAAACACTACGAATTGGCCCTCTCTCATCCCACTCCCGCTCTCGCTCCCGACTTTTCTCGACGACGGGAAATTAGCTGCCATTAGTCATTTTTATTGTTTTCGGTCGCGGCCCCGAAACCAGAAAATAAAATACAGCTAACAGAGGCCAAGAAAACTGTAAAGAGAGCGGCAAAGATGTCGATGGAAAGTCAAGAGGGGGGCGGGTAGACTTGTGGAAATTGGGCAGCCAAACAATTTGTGGCAGCAATTTTTCTTAACATTTTCATGAACCCAAGAAGAAAAAGAAAGAAGGGAAAAAAGGTCGAACGAGAAGCCAAATGTCTTAATTATTTTTGGTAGCTCCCTCCCTGCTGCCCACGAAAGAAAAAAGAACAGAAAAAAAAAATAAAACCGCGTGCCTAAACATACAATTTTCGTTTACGACATTTTAATTAAGTTTTCCCCATTTTCCTCTGCTTGTGGAAATTGGTCAAATTAATAAGAACGCCATTGGCACGCCCCGTCAGGTTTCCCTTTATTCGGCTTTTGGGTTTTCTTTTTCTTTTTCTTTTTTTTTTTTTTTTTGGGTCTCGAAGAAAGGCCCCCTCCCGGCCAGCGATCATCAGTCCATCGGTGATGAATGAATTGAGTTGTTATGCCTCTGTGCCTCCCAATCATCCCAGCTGATCCCAGGTGATCTCAGGTGATCCGCTCCAGTCGATGCCCGCCGCTCATTAGACATCGCTGACCGCGAGCGCTTCTGGTAATTGCCATCATTCGAGGGGTAGGGATTGGGTTTGGCTTTGGCTTTGGGGCAGAACTACCGGGAGAACTGAACCACTAGACCCATAGATTAATTGTGATTGTGTCGAGTGGAAAATGAAGGTGGAAGCAGCAAAGGTTGCACAGTGGAAAACTAAGGTTTGTTGGAGGAAAATCATTAAGCAGAGCAGCCTGATGGAAATATCTCAGCTGAAATGAAGGAAAATCTAATATCTTAAAAGGGAAATCTCTAAAATATTAGATAAACTTCTGCTGTTCATAAAGCCTAACAGAGGCTAGAGTAACATCTTTCCTAGTTACTTACTAAATTTGAGTTTAAAACTAACAAAAGTTCCCTGGAAAACTTCTACATTATAGTAGCAGATTCTTACCAAGTCATGTCTCTGCTATAACCAAGACCTTGTAGGCCATTTCTCCCAGTGCAAGTGATAGGCTCTCGATGGACAAATCCAAAGATTTCTCTCGCCCAAAAGTGAAAGATTGAGTGAGGAGTTGTTGGGGGGCGAAAACAAGACTGGAAGCCCGAAGAGCCGAAAAACGAACAGCGCGGCCCATCAACATCAACGGCTAATGGGACTCTTGTTCGCATCTGGAAAAGGGCCAATTGGAAGGGATATATAGGGGGATATATATATGGAGTATGAGGTATTGGTCCAATTTCCACCGAGATTTTCCGCGGCTAATTAATAAAACGCTCAGTGGGCTCGTTGCACTAATTGGTCCGATCGTCGGTGCCCGCTGATGAGCTTTTGACGAGCATTCGTTTCTGTTTTTTTTATGTTTTTTTTTTTTGATTGTTTGGCTCGGGAAATGATAATTATTTAAGTGGTCTGCCCATTTAGGCGATTGCCAAAAACGAGCCCAAAGCAAGACGAAGCTGAAATCAGAAATCAGAAATCAGAGAACGGAAAGCCAGTTTGGCCGGCGTTCTAAATACTAAATACTCCCAAAACGTCCCGCGCCCACGACCACGTTCATGTCCTTGCATTTGCATTTGCATTAGCATTTGCATAATTTATGAGGGCGACAACCCTGGCCGGTGGCCATAAATTCACCAGAATGGCAGTTGGCCAAAATAGAAGGCAACATCCTTTCCGCTCTCTTCGTTGTTTTTTTTCTAGGCCAACTGCGAATGAATTTTGGCAGCTCACTTAATTTTTTACCCACTCCCAAGTGACTATTTTTCCCCTCCTTTCTTTTGGTCCACCCCATTTTTTCGGTGGACTAATAAAAATCAAAAGGCGTTTTGTTCTCTAAACTTAAATTGAAAACACTTTAGGCCAGTCCTGCCCCAAAAATACAACAACAACGACTGCCTGCCTACACTCACCCACCCACCCGGCTAAAAACCAAAGGATAAACACTTCAAGGGGCGGATTTGGCTTAGTGCGCCTACCCATCCCGCTCCGCCCCTGCTTTTCGTCGTCGTTCTGCCGCTGTTGAATTACCGTTTAGCACAAAGATGGCGGCGCTAGATAAAAACATTTTTTGCCCAAATAAAAACAGTACGAAAAACCCAAAAAAAGAAAGAAAAGCTTGGAAAAGCAACAACAGAAAAGGGGTTTTTGTTTCGGGCACTTGACTTGTTTTTTGTTTCTTTCTTCCTTTTTTTGGCTGGCCATTTACAGTTTTGAGGTGTAATTTTTTCTTAAATACCATTACAAGGGCCACGCCCTAGCCCGCCCACAAATTGCGATTAGCAAATTAGGGTTTAGAGGGGCAGGGGGAAAGAATGGTAAATTTATTGGCTGCCACAAAGGGTTTTCATTTCTGGCCACGCTTATTATTTAATAACCGCTGTTTTGGCCAATCAATCAGCCCGGCAAGGACCCCAACTAATTTTTGGCCATTCATTTTGCCACTTTGTTAGCAATCTGTGTCGACAAGTGTCAAGAAATCAAGGCAATTACACGACCCAAAGCCAACACACACAGGGTTTTCCCCTTACCAAGAGGGTTGGGTGGTGATTTTGTTTGGAAAACATCAAAAAGCGAGGAAACGCTAAGCGGAAAAGCCGCAAGCACGTAGAATCGAGCGTTTTACCGCTAAAGCTAAGCTCGGCACAACCACCTCCCCCTGGAAAACCACCCAGAAACATCCTCAAATACCCTCAAACACCACAAACACACACACACACGCGTCCTGATTTTTATGTTATCTCCATGGACTTGAGCCCAACAAGCTAACGCCCGCCCTCTGCTGCTGCTCCTCGACGACGACATGAAAATTATGTAAAACTTAAGTAAAAGATGAGCTCGTCAAGAATTATGACACCCCAGGGAGTCCACAGTGATGCGAGGGTGTGCGTGTGTATGTGTGTGAGTGCTTGCAACCCCTAGTATCAAGTGGGCGAGGGTATGCATGGACTGTAGTTTCAGTCGAAGTGTGAATGCCCTAGAAAGATATGGGAAATAGATATTGCTTAGAGATCTAACTGTGATCTATATAGGAGTATGTATAGGGAAAGATATATACAGATACGAGGTTATATTTCCTATCTTAAGACCTTATAAATTCCCTTAACTTACCCCAATCTATCAACAAATCAAAGTAACTTCCTTTGACACGACAAGAAACTGTTGACCAAACAACAAAATCTAGCGGCATTTAAGTGGCAGTTTCTTCTTTGGGAAGGGGTGTTGGAAAACCACCCACACTGAATACCATGATCCCAAACTCCAATCCTGCCGCGAAAACTCACATTCGGAAAAACCCCACGACGCTTGTTGGATTCCCTCGTAAATGCCTCATGTGCGTTTATATTGAAACAGATTGCTCTGCCATTCCATTCCATTCCTGTTCATTCCATGCCATTCTATTCCCTGCCCTGGGTGTATCCTTGTGGATCGACTAGATGTATCTGTATTTGTATCTCTCTATGTGTGTGTGTGTGTGTGTGTGTGTGTCACTTGTCTCTGCGTCCTTTGTGAAATTGTTGCGGTTTGCAATTTGCTGCAAATGACACCGAGTTGCTGTTGCTGCTGCTCTATTCTTCCTCTGTTAGCCGCCCT